ACTTGACTTCAGATCACGTGACCACATCTGATGTCCTCTATTTTTCTTATATCTATACATATTGTGCAGCCCTTGGTGCAGCCCATAGATAAATAAATATGTAGGTGCAGCCATCTCTATGGTGCCGCCCTTGGGAGATTTTGACGGCAACTTAAATTCGGCTACTGAAATGCCTGCCGCAGATGCAATCTAGGGTGTAGGAGTGGGAATGACCCTTAAGGCGGCTACTGACATGCCTGCCGCAGGGGCAATCTAGGGTGTAGGAGTGGGGATGACCCTTTATTGCCTCCTTAATTGTGATGTTTGTAGGCAAGCAAGGGCAATTTTTTAAGTCGGCCCTGCGGCAGGGCGGCAGGAGCGCAAGACCTTCCTTGCTCCCTAGATCGGCCAAGCCGCTGTCGCGTGTGTAGCGCAATTGAGGCAATTTCGTTCGTTACGACTTTCGCGCGGAGCACACGTATGAGTATAAGTCAGAATCGCAGAAAGAACGTTATTTTAACATTATAAGTTACAAGTAACATTACTGGGATTTGTTACCTAACTTATCATAAGGGCTAGTATGGGAAAGAAAATATTCCAATAGTATTAAAATTGCTGGAATTTAAATAAAATGTCACTGACTAAATAATTAAACAAAAATACAAATTTTAGTGATTAAATTTATTAAAACTCATCATTAGAAAACTATCCAGGCTATTTGTAACACTATTTAAATTGTAGTTACTAAGCACTAGTTAGTTAAGTTGTATCATAGGATAAATTGGTTATATTAAATTTTGACTAGTGAAGTTAGTCATATTTAATTGTCTTTAATAGCCTAAAAATAGCGTGGCAGAGCTATTCTGCAGCTTATAAGCACTATGTTATGGTTGTAATTATTAATTGTTTTATAGATAAATGTGGGTGTCTATGGGCCACAGTGTCCACTTACGATCAGGTGGACTGTGCTCATTTGTCACCCTTATTCTATATAAAAAAGAGCCAAGGCTATATATACTGATTCATTGATATTTCGATAAAACTGGCGCCATTCTCAACGCGTGCGTCCAGCGAGACGAACCCTCTCATACTGAATCTGAACGACAGGCGTGTGTGTAGAGACAGCTCCGATCATAGATAAGGTAATATAAGCTCCGATATTGCTCTGATCGCTGTGTTCCCTAGATGGCTGCTGCGGCAGACATGTCAGTAGCCACCTTAAGCCAGCAGACAGCTGACAGTTGGCGATTATTTCAAGGCGCTCCTGTCAAAACAACACTGTCATGTCCATAGATAAAGGGCAGTCATGTATAAATGTGCCAACTTGGAAAAATTACAAATCGAGTCAACTCGAGTTGAAATTCACGTAACTCGAGTTTAAAATATTGGTTGGTAGTAATTTAAACAAAGCGCACCAGTTTAATATTATTTTGTTTAGTTTACATTTTCATCAAAATATTACAAGGGATTTATATAACAACTTGAAAAAATAATTACTAGGGAAGTAAATTAAGGTTTAGTGAAATTGTTTTTTTTATTATTTAGTGTAGTGTACAAATATAAGATTTTAGTAAGACTTTAATTTTCCGCCATGTCTAATCTAATATCCATATCGCTCGCACTCTATCGCACACGGCGAATCTAGCCACCGACCGATGCGAAACGATGGCATCGCGGCGGTACGCAAATATCAGATTTTGTAATACATAGTTTTCGAATGAACCAGCATAATACTGTTACGAGCTTGGGGTTCGAGACAATTAAAAACTGCCGATTGAATTACCAAAATTGACACTTTAATTCATCATCATCATCATTACAGCCCTTCACAAGTCCACTGCTGAACATAGGCCTCCCCCAAAGAATGCCACAAAGCACGGTCCTGGGCCACCTGCATCCATCGACTTCCTGCATATCTTACCAGGTCGTCACTCCATCTAGTGGGGGGACGCCCTACACTTCGCCTGCCGGTACGAGGCTGCCACTCGAGAACCTTTCTTCCCCATCGGTTGTCGGTTCTTCGAGCTATATGGCCGGCCCATTGCCACTTCAGCTTACTAATCCGTTGGGCTATGTCGGTCACTCTAGTTCTACTGCGGATATCCTCATTTCTGAGTTTATCACGCAGAGAAACTCCGAGCATAGCCCTCTCCATAGCTCGCTGAGCGACCTTGAGCTTCCTCATCCGGCCAGCAGTGAAGGACCACGTCTCAGTTCCGTATGTCATCACTGGCAACACGCACTGGGTGTACAGTCTCGATTTCAAGTTTTGAGGTATACCTGACGAGAAGATGTGCCGTAATTTCCCGAACGCTGCCCAACCGAGTTGAATCCGTCGATTGACCTCTCGGTCGAAGTTGGACTTACCTAGTCGGACTATTTGTCCCAGGTAAACATACTCGTCAACAACTTCGAGCTTAGTGTTCCCAACAACTACCGGCATAGGTGTGACATGGACATTAAACATGATCTTTGTTTTGTCCATGTTCATCTTAAGACCTATCCGTTGGGAAACACTATTGAGGTCATTGAGCATAGTGCTTAGGTCCTCCAGCGATTCTGCCATAAGGACTATATCGTCGGCAAATCGAAGGTGAGTGATGTACTCGCCATTGATGTTGATACCGTATCCTTTCCAGTCCAGAAGCTTGAAAATATCTTCCAATGCAGCGGTAAAGAGTTTCGGGGATATGACGTCACCCTGTCTTACACCTCTCTGCAATTGGATAGGTTTTGTACTCTGGTTCTGTACTCGGATAGCCATCGTAGCCCTACTGTACAAGCACTTCAACACTTCGATATACCGACAGTCAACTTGGCATCGCTGAAGGGACTGCAGCACCGCCCAAATTTCGACGGAATCAAAGGCTCTCTCATAGTCCACATACGCCAGACATAGTGGCAAATTGTACTCCTCGGACTTCTGTACAATTTGCCGAAGGGTATGTATGTGGTCTATGGTGTTAAAGCCTTTTCGGAAACCGGCTTGTTCGGGAGGCTGGAAGTCGTCAAGTCTGCGCGCGAGACGATTCGTAATGACTCTCGAAAACAGCACGTAGACGCGGCTCAGAAGGGAAATCGGTCTGTAGTTCTTCAAAAGAGCGTTGTCGCTTTTCTTGAAGAACAAGACCACCCCACTTCTGCTCCACGCCTCCGGTGTAATGCCACCATGGAGGACGGAATTAAAGAGCTTCTGAAGGACTTCAAGTACCGGTTTTCCACCCGCTTTCAGAAGCTCCGCTGTAATTCCATCCTCGCCTGGGGCCTCGCCGTTTTTAAGGTGCTGGAGAGCCATTCTAATCTCGCTCAGACTGACGTCCGGGATATCATCGGAATAATGTCGGACACTAATGGATAACACTTTAATTACACAACACTAATTACAATCTAAAATCACACTAATAATAAAACACAGTTCGCCGTTATTTCGCTTCGAAGTATTCTCTTGTATCGCCAATTCAATACTGCCTTGGTCGTGGTCCATACCGGCCTTATATAGGGCCTCAGACAGTTTCCAGAACCTTCCACTGTAGCGACATCTAGAATGTTCGAGTACATATCGGTCCCGAAATTTCTGGAAGGATCGCGACTCTCCTAGTTCTGCTACTCGACACTAGAGGGCGCTAGTGTAAATAGTGTTGCCATGTACAAGATATTAATAGTGGCGCGCAACACTTTCTTTTACCCGACACTAGAGGGCGCTAGTGTAACTAGTGTTGCCATGTACAAGAGATTAATAGTGACGCGTAACAATACCTATAACGCCCGCGCTCCGTCGCACACGACGAATCTAGCTTAGACGTGGGTCGTTACGTCATTTTCAAGAAACGTAACGAAACTAGTGACTTGGTCTGCGTCACCTGTTTCAAAACTAGTGATTTTTGTTACTGGTAATTTTTATTTGGCTACTGTGATTGTTTGCATAAATACCACCAAAAACTATACAGTTACATACGAAACGAAAATAAATTTAATCACCATCTAAGTGTTTCTAGCTATACAGTTAAATCAATAAATTAACTTCCCTTCATACTTTACTGAACTGACTGCATTAAATGTATTTATGATTGTTTTGTATTTACTATGAAACTAAGATTTTCATAAAATTATTAATGCAGCGGCATTTACAAGTCAATTTGATTGTATATACAATGATTATTGATATTCACAGTTTATTTAAACTTGTACAATCCACACTAATTATATTTATATAATATAATAGCAAAGAAACGTTACTGTAGATGTACATAAAACACCAAAATAACATATAAATGTAAATTTTTACAAGATAGTATTCAAAATTATAAACAAGTACAATGATGAACTAAAACAAACTAAATTATTTTACTTAAATTCAATGTGACTATCGCTTCCTGGAATTGCAAACCGTTGAAATTATTTACAAACAAAGATCACTCTATTTATATTGTCGATATCTATAGTCTTACGTTTGAAAATTAAACGTAGAATAATACTGTTACATACGCTGTTTTGTTTATTGTTGTATGCCACATGTGCGCTTTGCGCTTGACCGACCGACAGTCGGCTCTCGCAACAATCACAGTAATAACGCATTTACAAAAATCACTACTTGTAATATGACTCGAAACTAGTGATTCGGTTACATGCCTCGTAGCCAGTTATTGTAACTAGTGACGTGAAATAACGCCCACGTCTAATCTAGCTAATGACCGATGCGAAGCGATATAGGCATCGCGGCGGTACGCAAATATCAGATTTTGTAATACATAGTTTTGAAACGAACCAGTAAGCGGTTTTTAGATATTGTACCAATAGATAGATTTCGTATCAGTATACGGTTTACATCGCCCACCTCTAGTTCATGTACCAGCAACCCAAACTCGAGTTAGGGAGATACAATTCGAGTTAAGCGCAACTCGAATTAACTCGATTACTCGAGTTGACCCATCACTACAGTCATATCAGTGTCAGTGTCACTTATCACTTTAGTATCACAACAAATAAATCATAAAATTGTTCATCTCTTGTTTGAATTCAAAATGAATCAAATGAATATGCACGTTCCCATGAATCAAGTTGGTGCTCAACCCAATGTAGGCATGCAAATGCCTGTCTCGGGTCCTATAATGCAACAACCTTCGCCTCAGCAAATGCAACCTGCTATGCCACAACAGCCTCAACAGGATAAAATGGATAATATATCTAAAGTTAAAACATTGATGGGTTCTCTGCGTGAATCTCTTCCTGTAAGCAATAAATTTTTAACCTCCGACAAAAAATGGGTGTTATATGTTTAATGTATGTGACTGTGTGTCTGTCTGTGGCATCGTAGCTCCCAAACGGATGAACCGATTAAGATTTAGTTCTTTTTTAGTTTGAAGGGTGACTTGATCGAGAGTGTTCTTAGCTATGATTCAAAAAAGCTTTTTAGACATTTGGTCAGATCTTTTTGTTTCGGGGTTTTTTTTTATAAATTTATTTCTGTAAAAATTCAGTGTCACAAAGTCCTACCGCCCCTCCCGTTTCAATAGTAATGGGTAGATAATCTTAACTCTATCCATGATGATGATTATACAAAATTCTATCAAAGTTGCAACTTTTAATGTAGTAACGAGGTTACATTATTTGTGCTAAAATGAGCGGCCAGTTTGAATCCTAAAAAAATCCTCATAATGCTTCCACCTAGGAAGAGGATTGCCCTAGCCTGAGAGAAATCTATTCATTTACGATAAAGAAACTAGTAACAGATTATGTATGTCTGCAAACTGTTGTTGACTAATATTTAATACTCATATTTTCAAGTTTCTGGAGTGAATTGGAGGAGTATAGATTGTAGTGTTGAGCTGGTACCCGTGGTATTCACACTAAATCAAATCCTCATCCTTGCTTAATCATTTTTTTAGATTAAGGGTAACAAACGAGCACACAATCCACCCGAATCAAAATGCAGTTGTGTTGTCTTCCATGAGGACTAAGATGGAATGCCTCGTTTCCAATAAAACAGATATATGGTTCTCTACACTCACCATACGAAACAGCAGCATCAAGCTATTTTACGCTGGTATTCTGTGAGAGTGTAGGTCCTTCCCTGGTCTAGCTGACCCATTCGTGCTACAGCTGTACCAGTAAAATAGCTGCAGCATGGCTCTACTATGTAAATTGTCATAACCTCAAGTCTTCAAAGGGGCTTAGATCGAGAATGCACCTCTTTAATGGACATTTAAATTGTTTTAAGGCCCATTTTTAACTAAATTATTAAAAATTATATGCAATGTAACAGTATTAAAAACTCCATCTCAATAAGTGTTCGGTAATGCTTGTAGTAGTGACAAGTACTGATATGTCCTAGAAAAATTGAAAGTCTATACACATCAAAATATCAGTTGTACAATCTAAAACATTATAATTTTATGTAACTAATAAAACATTTTTAAATTAATATCTCATAAACTGTATTTTTGCACAATTATAATTGAAGATTACAGTTACCTTACTGTTATAGCCTATCGAAAATCCACTGCTGAACACAGGTCTGCCCCATAAATTCCCTCATATAGGGTATATTTATCATAATTGCCACTCTTGACAGGCAGGTTGGAAACTGCAATTTTCTATGTTAAGTTTTTATTAGGACAACCCTGCTGCCTATCTCCTTGTTTGGTTTAATTAAAGATTAAGCTAAGAAAAATGTGATCTATCTATCATAGTAATTTTAAACTTTCCATTTTAAATATTTTACATCATAGAGAGTTTCCACAATGATTAACAGTACCATCAAATGAAATCACATTGCCTTTGGTCTAAAATGCAATGAATCATTCTGGAAAAAAGTTCCATAGGAGTAATAGAGCATACCAGTTTTACTCTAACTCTCAGATTTTCATAAACTTCAAATTTCTGAAAAATGATAAACTGACTGTGACATTTTGTAATGGACTTATCATCAATAGTTGACACTTTATATACTATTAATCATGACACTTTATATATATTAAATTATATGCTATTAATACTAAAGACCCAATGGGTTTCTTGCTGGTTCTTCCCGGAAGACAGGAATTTTCCGAACCAGTGGTAAATTAAACATAAGATCGATAAGTATTATTCATAATGTAAAATATAAATATATATAATTATAATAAAATTAATAAGTAAGTTTTATTTTTATTATTGCCTGTGTTTAATAAGCTAAAAGCTGCTTTTATCACATCCTTAAAGAGCCACTAATGACCAAATACTCAAATACTACTCAATTTTAAGATGAAGAATGGCTGCATGCTGAATGATGAAGTTTCGAATTTAAAGAGATGGAAGGAATACTTTGAAAGCGTGTTTAAGAGTGAAAAGTCGTCTGGAATAAGTGAAATAGAAATTCCGGAAGAAGTGGAGAGAGGTAGGGAGATAAGTGTAGATGAAATAATGAAAGCAATGAAAAGCATGAAAGCAGGTAAGGCAGCCGGATATGATAGAGTATCACTCGAAATGCTAAGGGCTGGTGAGGGTGTGGTTGCAGGCCTGCTGCACACCTTGTTTAATTTATGTTGGGAACTGAAACGGGTACCGGAAGACTGGTGCAAAGCCGTTATAGTCCCAATATATAAGGGAAAGGGGTCGCAGCAGGACTGTAAAAACTACCGTGGTATCAGCTTGCTTAGCATTGTGGGTAAACTGTATGCTAAGGTGTTAATTGAAAGAGTTATGGAAGAAACTGATGGAAAAATTTGGGATGTGCAAGCTGGATTTAGAAAGGGGATGGGGTGTACGGATCAAGTCTTTTCCATGCGCATGATAGCGGAGAAGTTTTTGGCTAAAAACCAGAAAGTTTTTTGTGCGTTCATGGACTTGGAAAAGGCTTATGACAGAGTGGACAGGAATGTGTTATGGCAAACACTGAACACATTTGGGTTGAGCGCTGGCTTGATACAGGCATTAAGATCTCTTTATAGGGACTCTAGTGCTTGTGTCAGGATCAACGGGGTCTACTCTGACTGGTTTGGCATTCATAAAGGTGTCAGACAGGGATGTGTGGCTTCCCCGTGGCTGTTTAACTTATTTATGGACAGTTGTTTGCAAACTTTGAAAGTTGAAGAATGTGGGTTGAGAATGGGTGAGTCAACCGTCAAATGCCTTTTGTACGCCGATGATCAAGTCATATTTGCATCGTCGGCGGCCGAATTGCAAATGATGGTTACTTTAATGAATTGGTCATTGAAAGAAAGGGGTATGAAAGTGAACGCAAGTAAGACGAAAGTGATGGTTTTTGAAAGAGAAGAAAGTAAAACTTTATGTGAAATAAGAATAGAAGGGGAGTTGATTGAGCAAGTGGATGAGTTTGTATATTTGGGATGTTTATTTAGCAGGGATGGTAGATATGATAAGGATATAGAACGACGAGTGAACGCAGGAAATAGAGTGAATGGGGCTCTACACGCTATTATGAGGAGTCAGAATGTGTCAACTAAGGCACGTATGGCAATTCATAATGCTGTGTTAGTCCCTACTTTAATGTATGGTAGTGAAAGTTGGGTCTGGCAGAAGAAGCATGAGAGTAGAATAAATGCTGTAGAAATGCGTTCCTTAAGGAGTATGCTAGGGCTGAATCTGAATGACAGGGTGAGAAATAGTGTGATAAGAGAAAAGTGTGGTTTGCAAGATGACGTTGTGACAAGGATTAAAAAAGGAATGCTTCGGTGGTTTGGTCATGTAGAAAGAATGAACGAGGAAAGAGTGACAAAGTAAATTTATGTTGCGGAAGTGAACGGCAGGGTCGGGAAGGGACGCCCTAGACGAAGGTTTATCGACCAAATCGGCGATACATTAAAAATGGGCCAGATTAGGAGTACCCTTAACCGACGAGCGTGTATGCGTAGATATATGGATGTAAAAGAGGCGAGAGAGGTGTGTCAGGATCGCGCCAAATGGAAGTCCGTAGTCTCTGCCTACCCCTCTGGGTGACAGGCGTGAGTATTTATTTTAAGATGTCTTTAAGTCTCGTGCTGTCTCTATCACTTTAAGTCAAAGTGACTGTGACACCATGAGATTTAACGGCATCTTAAAATTGAGTAGCATTCGGGTATTTGGGCATATAACACTTAAAACTGCTTATCTTATTCTACATTTTCTATTATGTGTCTGTTTTAAACATTATGCTTTATTATGTTGTTTCAGATGACATTAAAATCAGCTGCACAAATTTTGCATCAGAATCACAATATTGATTCAAATTCTCAGTGAGTAATCTTTTGATGAGGTTAGCTGATTAATGTTGGAAGTCCATTCAAACCATCAAATTCAAATAAGTATATAATACATTTTAGATTATCACTATCAACCACATCCCATAAGAACTCTTTTAACATAGGTCTTTGGATAAATACATGTACCAGCTGGCATCCATTTCATTAAATATATTTTGATAGGGTTATTAAATGTATTTAATAAGGGTGACAAATGAGCACACAGTCTACCAGATGGTAAGTGGGTGCTGTGGCCCATAGACATTTACTTCTATTTATCTAATAATCAAAATGCAGATGCATTGTCAGCCTAAGGACTAAGAAGTTTCCTTAAGAGGGTCTCATACTCATTTGTCGCTACTTACCATTCTGAGTAAGCAGGTAAGTTAAAATGGTTAAAAGCATAAGAACCAATATGAATGCTTATGCTGTTTTCTTTCACTCTGCCATACTCCCAGTTTCTGCCTCCAGTCAGTTGCCAGAGCCTTGTTGGTCGATCAGTAACGCGATTCATGTGCACATGTGGTTGATATTTGCAACAAGAGTAAACATCTGGTTTAGGGCAGCATTACCAATGCTATGGAGTATGCTAGTTTGCTCATTTTTAAAGGTGTATATATTCAGCAGTACCTTACGAGTATACATAAGTGCATTTGTATACTCTAAGAGCAATACACTTGTAAAATTGAGATATGTATATTAGAATGCATGTCTGTTCAACATAGGCGTCTTCCATAGATTGTCAGAACCGATGGGGAAAAAAGTTTCTTGACTGGAAGCCTCATACTGGATAGTGGAGTGTTGGGCATACCCCACTTGATAAACAGATGACCTGACGAAACTTGCATGTAGTCGAAGTATGAAGGTGGCTCAGGACCGTACTGTGACAATCTAAATTTTAAATGCAAGTAAAAAAAATTTATAAATTTTGTTTTTCAGAAAAGGCATTGATAATCCTGTACCAAGGTTTGATAAAAATTTAGAAGAATTCTTCTCACTTTGTGATCAGATGGAGTTGCATTTGGTATGTTGCATTTGTTTTCAACCTATTTTCAAGATACCTAACATTAGTAATAAAAGTAATATTGTTCTTTAATTTTAAACTTATTAAATGCATTAGAGTTATTTTAAAAGGAGTTTCTAAATATAGCTTGCTGTGTGGTTGCATTGTAAGAGAATTCTACCCTCATTTCATTCTGTGCGTGTTCGAAGAGGAGACTATGTGAAATGCAAAAGTCTTATGGCTTCCATTAGATGGTAGTATACCATCCCATTTAACGCCAGCTGCTAAATAAATTATCAGATCAGCGGCGGGTAGCCATGTCACTGGTGCGAGACTGACGCGAATTGCTGGAAGGGAGAGGCACATGTCCAGCAGTTTAGTTTACGGGCTGATAACGAAGAAAATTCGTTTTACATTGTAGTAATCATGTAGGAGCTAGAGCAATGTTCAATGAGTAACTTACAGACATGTTTAATGGAGTTTGAACTTTAACATAATAAGTAATGTAGTAACAATTATTGAAGTGAAAATATAATAATTTAATAAATTACATGAGATGAAGCTGGAGCTAACCTTATTTTTCAGTGCACCGGATATACCTAATTCATGTCAGATTTATATTGACAATTTGAAAAAGAAAATCTTGTTTTAATTTTATGTAAAATAAATCGAAATGTAAAATATAAAGTGAAGAATTGACACATTTTGTTGGTTTCTAATACATGTCAAAGTTACTTTTCTTCGAGACATTTAGAGAGGCGGAAAAACCTGTTTTATTCTAAGAATCTTTACTTGGCACCCATAATATAAAATCAAAATTGGTAGATTCTTGCTCCCCACGGTTTTGTCAGGCCTTAGTGGTGCAGTATTATGATGGAGAAGTTGCAGTTAAATGTTAGTCTTTATTACCACATATAAATCGCCCATTAGTAGCCACAATATTTTAATTCAAAACATCAGTTCCAATGGTACATACATAAACACTCACGCCTGTCACCCAGAGGGGTAGGCAGAGACTACGGACTTCCATTTGGCGCGATCCTGACACACCTCTCTCGCCTCTTCTACATCCATATAACGCCCGTCGGTTAAGGGTACTCCTAATCTGGCCCATTTTTAATGTATCGTCGATTTGGTCGATAAACCTTCGTCTAGGGCGTCCCTTCCCGACCCTGCCGTTCACTTCTGCAACATAAATTTGCTTTGTCACTCTTTCCTCGTTCATTCTTTCTACATGACCAAACCACCGAAGCATTCCTTTCTTAATCCTTGTCACAACATCATCTTGCAAACCACACTTTTCTCTTATCACACTATTTCTCACCCTGTCATTCAGATTCAGCCCTAGCATACTCCTTAAGGAACGCATTTCTACAGCATTTATTCTACTCTCATGCTTTTTCTGCCAGACCCAACTTTCACTACCATACATTAAAGTAGGGACTAACACAGCATTATGAATTGCCATACGTGCCTTAGTTGACACATTCTGACTCCTCATAATAGCGTGTAGAGCCCCATTCACTCTATTTCCTGCGTTCACTCGTTGTTCTATGTCCTTATCATATCTACCATCCCTGCTAAATAAACATCCCAAATATACAAACTCATCCACTTGCTCAATCAACTCCCCTTCTATTCTTATTTCACATAAAGTTTTACTTTCTTCTCTTTCAAAAACCATCACTTTCGTCTTACTTGCGTTCAATTTCATACCCCTTTCTTTCAATGACCAATTCATTAAAGTAACCATCATTTGCAACTCGGCCGCCGACGATGCAAATATTACTTGATCATCGGCGTACAAAAGACATTTGACGGTTGACTCACCCATTCTCAACCCACATTCTTCAACTTTCAAAGATTGCAAACAACTGTCCATAAATAGGTTAAACAGCCACGGGGAAGCCACACATCCCTGTCTGACACCTTTATGAATGTCAAACCAGTCCGAGTAGACCCCGTTGATCCTGACACAAGCACTAGAGTCCCTATAAAGAGACCTTAATGCCTGTATCAAACCAGCGCTCAACCCAAATGAGTTCAGTGTTTGCCATAACACATTCCTGTCCACTCTGTCATAAGCCTTTTCCAAGTCCATGAAAGCACAAAAAACTTTCTGGTTTTTAGCCAAAAACTTCTCCGCTATCATGCGCATGGAAAAGACTTGATCCGTACACCCCATCCCCTTTCTAAATCCAGCTTGCACATCCCAAATTTTTCCATACAGTTTCTTCCATAACTCTTTCAATTAACACCTTAGCATACAGTTTACCCACAGTGCAAAGCAAGCTGATACCACGGTAGTTTTTACAGTCCTGCTGCGACCCCTTTCCCTTCTTTTCTAATGATGTAGGAAATAAATGAAAATGCATATTATATTATATATTTATCGAGGAGGAGGCAGTTCAGACCGCTTAATGCCCATTCAATATAATGTTAAGTCTAAAATTTTTCATCACAATATTCTGGGCGTTTCTAGATTTACTTTGAAACCAAGATTTTGCAGTAATTTGTTACCATGTAATTCGTTATGTTCAAGTAAACATTATGAGGCGACGAATCTAAGTGCAACAATTAACTTATTGACCCAGCAACGGCCATTGAGCTGTACTAGTACATGCCTATCGCTGATATATTTTCTTTGCACGTTATCAATTAGCAGAAGCGACATAAAACTATTATTTTCATCATTAAATTTATAACTGTGACGTTGCATATCACATGATTATATAAATGTTGTTAATGTATTGATTATTATCTATGTCGGATTAATGAGCTGAAACTTTCTTTGAATATCACTCATAATACACATTAAATGACAAAGTTACATATTATATTATTTTATAGCAATATTTGTAGTGGTGGTAGAGGTGATAAAGGTAAATTAAAACGGATAACAACACAAAATCATAAAAAGCTGCGGTTTCTAATACGCATAATAGTATAGTTGTAGCACGAATGGGTCGGCTCGACCGGGGGAGGACCACGCTCTCACAGAATACCAGCGTAAAATGGCAGCTTGACACTGCTGTGTTTCGTATGGTGAGTGTAGAGAACCGGAGACCCATTTTACTGAAAAAGAGGCATTCCATCTTAGTCATCACGGGTGACGACGCATCTGCATTTTGATTCTTTATTGAGGACTAGCTGTTCCACGCGACTTCGCGATTGGATTTTATGTGTTTTAATCTTTTGCGCGGAACCCTAATTCTTTTTCTAAAATAAAAGTAGCCTAAGTTACTTCTTATAACATCAGCTATCTGCCAGTGAAAGTCCGTTCAAAATCAGTCCAGCCGTTTCGGAGATTAGCCGGAACAAACAGACAGACAGACAGAAAGACAGACAGACAAAAATTTTAAAAATCGTGTTTTTGTTATAAGTCATCATCATCATTACAGCCTCTCATAAGTCCACTGCTGAACATAGGCCTCCCCCAAGGAATGCCACAAAGCACGGTCCTGAGCCACCTGCATCCATCGACTTCCTGCATGTCTTACCAGGTCGTTACTCCATCGCGTGGGGGGTCGCTCTACACTTCGCCTACCGGTACGAGGCTGCCACTCAAGAACCTTTCTTCCCCATCGGTTGTCGGTTCTTCGAGCTATATGGCCGGCCCACTGCCACTTCAGCTTACTAATCCGTTGGGCTATGTCGGTTACTCTGGTTCTACTGCGGATATCCTCATTTCTAAGTTTATCACGCAGAGAAACCCCGAGCATAGCCCTCTCCATAGCTCGCTGAGCGACCTTGAGCTTCTTCATACGGCCAGCAGTGAAGGACCACGTCTCAGATCCGTAAGTCATCACTGGCAACACGCACTGGTTGTACAATTTCGTTTTAAGGTTTTGAGGTATGTCTGACGAGAAGATGTGTCGTAGTTTCCCGAACGCTGCCCAGCCGAGTTGAATCCGTCGATTGACCTCTCGGTTGAAGTTGGACTTACCTAGTTGGACTATTTGCCTCAGGTAAACATACTCGACAACTTCGAGCTTAGTGCTCCCAACAACTACCGGCATAGGTGTGACATGGACATTAAACATGATCTTTGTTTTGTCCATCTTCATCCTAAGATCTATTCGTTGGGAGACACTATTGAGGTCATTGAGCATGGTGCTTAGATCCTCCAGCGATTCTGCCATAAGGACTATATTGTCGGCAAATCGAAGGTGAGTGATGTACTCGCCATTGATGTTAATACCGTATCCTTTCCAGTCCTGAAGCTTGAAAACGTCTTCCAATGCAGCGGTGAAGAGTTTCGGGGATATAACATCACCCTGTCTTACACCTCTCTGCAATTGGATAGGTTTCGTACTCTGGTTCTGTACTCGGATAGCCATCGTAGCTCTACTGTACAAACACTTCAGCACTTCGATATACCGACAGTCAACTTGGCACCGCTGAAGGGACTGCAGCACCGCCCAAATTTCGACGGAATCAAAAGCTTTCTCATAGTCCACATACGCCAGACATAGTGGCAAATTGTACTCTTCGGACTTCTGTACAATTTGCCGAAGGGTATGTATGTGGTCTATGGTGCTAAAGCCCTTTCGGAAACCGGCTTGTTCGGGAGGTTGGAAGTCGTCAAGTCTACGCGCGAGACGATTCGTAATGACTCGCTTTTGGATCGATACTCACACTTGCGTGTGGCTCCAACGATGACATGTACAGCTGCCCATAGAACCTCTCAATCTCACTCAAAATCTCAGGTGTCCCGGAAACGATGCTGCCACATTCGGTCTTCAGCCTTGACAGTTGGCTCTTTCTGGCAGACAGATCTCTGGCAAAGACTTTGGAGCCTTGGTTCCGCTCGATCGCTTCTTCAATACAAGCTGTATTGAAGTTGTGTAAGTCCCGTCGCATGCATTTGGAGATCTGTCTGTTCAGTTGCCTGTATACTGTCAAATCTGTTGAAGAATGTAGCTTCATCTCCCGTCTAACAGCCATGAGATTGAGAGTGTGATCGGAGAGTTTTTGTGTTCTTCTGCGGCGGGTCTTGCAGAACTTAGCTCCGACCGCATGGACAGTTTCCACGAGCTTGTCATTCATATCGTCCACTTCATTGCAGTCTTCTAGGCACTGAAAACGGTTTTGTAACTCGAGCTGAAAGGTTTCGGGACTTTGGAAGAGACCACGAGGGGGACGGAGCGTTGACTTCATTAGACGAGACCTCTCCAACATAACGTTTAGGTTCAGTGTGCCTCTGACCATTCGGTGATCGCTACCAGTTTTCACCCTCGCGATCACGGAGACATCACTGAACAGTTGTCGTTTGGTCGTCATAATGAAGTCAATCTCATTTTTTGTGGAACCGTCGGGGCTTGACCAGGTCCACTTCCTGTGGGGCCGCTTCTGGAAGAAAGAGTTCATCATAAAGAGTCCGTCTTTCTCCATGAAGTCGGTCAGCTGCTGGCCCCTTGGGTTCCGTTGCCCTATTCCAAATTTCCCTACTTTCAGCTCACCGTTCTCTCTTGTGCCTAGTTTTGCATTGAAGTCTCCCATTAACACCGTATATTGGGTTTTGGAGGAATGCATGGCTCTAGAGATATCCTCATACATTTCCTCCACCTCCTCATCGGGTGTGCCGAGGTTGGTGCGTAAACCTGTATGACCTTCAGCGAATACCGTTTGGTGATTCTGAGTATAAGGTACGCAACCCTCGTCGACACACTCTCAATCTTTACAACCTTGTTAACGAGAGACTTGTGTCCGACACCTCCTTGGGACAGATGGTCGCCCTCCCGGTGATAGAGCAAGTTGCCGGATTCGAGGATTACCGTGTCCTCCCCCTCTCTTCGGACTTCGGATAATCCTATAATATGCCAGCGTAACTTGTCTATCTCTTCTTCCAGCTCCACGATCTTCTCGTCAGTCCTCAGGGTGCGTGCGTTGTATGTTGCCAGGTCGAGTCGTCTTAGGTGGCAACCGAACCTCCACCGGAGATTCTTAGCAACCCCTGCCCCGCCGTTACCATGGTCGCCACCCTAGCCAGGAATAGCGGGGCCGCCGGGGCCTGGGGGCCGTTTCTTTGTTACTCTCGTCATAGGGGGGTATTTGCCATAGTTGCCACGCTTGGCGAGCGGGTTGGCAACCGCAGTTTTTTTATTGTATGTTTGTTGTTATCAGGAAAATGCTGCTGCCCATCTCCTGCCTGTTTCCCTTGTCGCCTTTTAAGACACCCACGGAAAGATATGGGGTAGTGGATATACTTAACCGCCATTACACGTTATAAGTACCGTATATAATTTCATATGCATATGTTAAAAAGCTGTTATTTCGACATTACAAACAGACACTTCAATTTTATTTATCTGTATAGATAAATGTAGACTTTTATGGGTCACAGCAACCAGTTATCATCAGGTGGACTGTGTGCTCGTTGGTCACCCTATCCTATAAAAAAATTCTCCCTATGAAGCAATCCATGTCGGAAACCTATGATTAGCAGTGGACTTTTATAGGCTCAGTTGAATGGATAGCGACTTACCATGCGATGGCAAAGAAAATCCATCACTCTATTTCGTCCCGTGATCTTGTGGCTTCCGATAGACGGTGGTATAAATGATTATATAATCAGCAGCAGCAACAAACGTGCGAGTCTTCTGGCACTGTGATGCTCAATCTACTTGCCCCGCATGACGAATCCTTCCTACAAAGGGTGAGGTCCATGTCGTGACGTCAATAAATAAAGAATATATAAAATCAGTGATGCTATGCTTGGGGTTTTACTGAATTATACAATCCTATGGCGCATTATCCGGCAGAACAAAAATAACTGACATAATCCATTCAACTGTTCAGAAAACTTAAGTTGCAATGGGCCGGCCATAAAACTGGAAGATCCGATAACGGATGGGGAAGAAAGTTGACTGTTAAGTGGCTGACTCGTACCGGCAAGTGCACAACTTCTAGATGAAGTAATATTCAGTAAGTTTATGCTCAATAGTGACTTCTAACCGGTAGGTCTAAATATGAAGACGGCCGAAATGAAGGTAACGTTTAACGTCCACTTGCAGTTAGTTAAAGCCTGTTTTGCTATTTCCGCCATTTTTGGTGCACACTGCCAAGAAGCAGTGAATTTTTTATCTGTCTTAGTTTTTCCGGATCGTTATAACGAGACTCTATTCAAAGACAGTCTCATGTTACTTTTTATCCACTTTTATCAGATGGATATTTTAACGTAGGAAAAATTATGAGCGTTCGAGCCTGCCTACCTCCCACCGATCTTATAATTATTACACAAGAGTCACAAGACAAGAAGTGTCCCGTCGTGATGTTATGTAAGTGAGATCATTCATCCATTCACAGAATACCAGCGTAAGATAGCAGCTTAATGCTGCTGTGTTTCGTATGGTGAGTGTAGAGAACCGGAGACCCTTTTTACTGGAAAAGAGGCATTCCATCTTAGTCCTCACGGGTGACAACGCATCTGAATTTTGATTCGTAATCGAAGATAGACAGATGTAGATGTCTATGGGTCACAGCAACCACTTACCATCAGGTGGACTGTTTGCTCGATTGTCACCCTTATTCTATAAAAAAAAATTAAAGTTTAAAGTAATATGTTAAAATGGGCTCAAAGTCCTAATAAACTTGTACTACTAATCTTATATTTAATTTAAAAATTGCTTTAGGTAACTTGAAGGACCCTTGTCAGACGGGTTGACCGGCGCAGTTTTTTTATTATTTTGAGTTGTTATTCGGAAAATACTACTGCCCGTCTCTTGCGTCATTTCCCTATACCGCCACTAACGACATCCACGAAATGATATGGGGTAGTGACTTCTCCTACGCCGCTACAACACCTATTACTATTACACTACGGCTACGGCCTATTCATTCTCACTTTGAAGTTTCACAAAATGCCTATTCACTAAGTTGTTTATTTCTCTTGATTTATTGAAATTCAAAATTTATAGAAATAATGTTTTTTTTTTAGCGTACTGCGATAACATGCATTCAACAAGCACAGTCGGCGGCACATTACCTTCCTCTCACTGTCAATACTTCGAGACTCGATTCCGGACCTTCCACACAAGTAAGTGACTGTTAAAAAATTTACTTTTAGAACAAATTTTAAAGTTTGAGGCGATAAGGAATGAAACCAGGTGAAAGCTTTCATTATAATTCATGACTATATAATCGAAGCAGAAAAGTTAACACGCTTCAATCCTACAGTGAACCTTAGATTTAGACCAGTGGCCACTAGACTGTCCAAATCGTATCGGCATCGTTGTTCTGCTCTTCCTTTCTCCCTATAGATGCCGATATGAGTTTCACTTCGAATTTGCTCCAGATTTTTTATAGTGTGTAAACCTGTGTTTGGACCAATAAAGAAAGAAAGACGGAGCGCTGCATACGTTTAAAGTGACGCAAAAATCAAGCCAAAACCAAACTCAACTTATTGTGAAAACACACAACTACACATACATATATGCACATATAATAATCAATTGCAACCAAAAAATATAAATAATAATGCATAATATGTGTGCGTCCGATCGTGAAATTTTACGGACTGAGGAAATAAGAAAAAATAACCGGCTAAGTGCGAGTCGGACTCGCGCATGAAGGGTTCCCTACCATCGTAAAACACGTTTCTAGTAGGGGAGCCTCTTTAATTTTAATTTGTTTTTATTATTTCTTGTTATAACGGCAACACCATCTGGATGATTGGCGGTCCACCACTGTGCGATTTAGAAGATGTTTTCTTCCTCGCACAACTTCCTTGTGGAATAGTTTACCACCAGGGATTTTTCCGGACCGATACGACTTAGGGACCTGCAAGAAAAGAGCCTACTCCTTTTTAAAAGGCCGGCAACGCATCTGCAATTCCCCTGGTGTTGCGGTTGTTCATGGGCGGCGGTAGTCACTTACCATCAGGTGAGCCGCATGCTAGTTTGCCCCCTCTCCAATAAAAAAAAAAAAAAAAAACTGAAATACACATTCTGTAAACTGTCTACCTATTACGGATCATGAGATACAGCCCGCTGACAGACAGACGGACGGACGGACGGATAGCGGAGGCTTAGTTTAGGGTCCCGTTGGTTACCCTTTGGGTACCAACGGTACGGAACCCTAAAAAGAAGTATGTATGTATGGCACAGGTTTGGCCTCACATGGGATACTGCTCCCATATCTGGGCGGGGCTCCCCAGTGCTAACTCCTTCCACATGATCGCATCCAGCGCAGAGCGGCTCGAATCGTCAACGATCGAGTCCTTTTCGATCGGCTAGATTCACTGGCGCTGCGAAGAGATGTTGCATCCCTTTGCATTTTCTTTCGCATTTACCACGGGGAGTGCTCTGAAAAATTGTTCGGATTAATCCCAGCCGCCAAATTTCACGAACGCACATCGCTGCAGAACTCCCGATACCATCCACACCACAGGATGATTGGCGGTCGACCACTGTTCGATTTAGAAGATGTTTTCTTCCTTGCACAACTTCATTGTGGAATCGATTACCACCAGCGATTTTTCCGGACCGATACGACTTAGGGACCTTCAAGAAAAGAGCCTACTCCTTTTTAAAAGGCCGGCAGCGCATTTGCAATTCCCCTGATGCCCCTGGTGTTGCAGTTGTTCATGGGCGGCGGTAGTCACTTACCATCAGGTGAGCCCAGGGTTGGCTGATTTAAATCAGTTCAAAATTCAATTCAATTCAAAATTCTTTATTCGGTATCTTAAATTTAAATACATTAACTAGGCTGGGGTCTCCTTTTAAGTATATCAATATCTGTGTTAGGGGACCCCGCTCTTCCATAACAATTATTTTAACATTTTTGATACTTATAAGATCGCATACATAAAGATTAAACGTGTGTGCATGTGTGTGTGTGTGTGCGCGTGCACGTGCAGCTAAACAAGATCATGGAAGATACTGGAAGATACCAATGTGACGCAGGAACATACCAATCTGTTATTTTTAAAAACTTGCTTTTTTTCTGTTAAAATAAAAATACCCGTCACTCCTACAATAAAGTAGTAAAAAGCAAAGCCTGTTGAAAAAGGGCTACCTACTATAAAATAAATTAATATATTGAGGACAATGACGGGGAAACAACTCTTAATCTGCACTTGGAAGTTCCCTGGCTAATGATATATTGCTAAAATTGAAATTAAAAAAATATTAATATACTTTCACATTGTAGAAGAAATTGTAACATGGCGTTTAAAAAAAATACAAGTCCCCGGAGTTTATTCAAAGTTTTTCTCTGAGGTCTTTTTTTGGAACTGGTGTAGACTTTGTCATTCATAAGAGCTTTAAACAAGCCTAAATTGAATAAAAAAAACTGTCAGTCGTAGGATTGCTAATCAGAAGGGAAAACTTCTCAGCTTCACAAACTTGTAAACATAATTTTTGGGCTGTTAAGAATTTTTTTTATGACATATTTTTTATTAGAAATTATTTTTATCAACGTACTTATCTTCATTTATCGCGCTGTTTTACATGAAAAATAATGATTGTTATCTATTTAATACAAACAAATTTATAAATACCTTTAAATTTTATAAAATTTAATCAATTGGATTTTCAACATTACTTACATCAATTTTATGTACCCGAGCGTGACGGTCACGCGAGTTTAGTTATTTTGAACGTGCCTAAAGAAGCTTTCACTTTATAAACTTTTTGCTTTTCAATTTGAAATATATTTAAGTACATGGCTAAATATCATTTTTATTATATTCATGTTACAAAAATATTATTAATTATTCCAGAGGCAACGCCTACGTTCAACAAAAACGGGGTACATTTCATCATAATAAAGGGTGTCTCAGAATGATTTTCGTTTTTAATTGACCAATACGCACCAACCGCAGGTTACTTGTTAAGTTTAGTAGCCATGAATCGTTTCACGGGATTACAGCGCGCGTTTTGCGTGAGAGCGTTTTATAAAAACAACGATTCCTACACTGTTGTTCGTCGTCTCTACAGGACACATTTTAATTTCATCATCATCATCATCATCATTACAGCCCTTCACAAGTCCACTGCTGAACATAGGCCTCCCCCAAAGAATGCCACAAAACACGGTCCTGAGCCACCTGCATCCATCGACTTCCTGCATGTCTTACCAGGTCGTCACTCCATCTCGTGGGGGGACGCCCTACACTTCGCCTACCGGTACGAGGCTGCCACTCGAGAACCTTTCTTCCCCATCGGTTGTCGGTTCTTCGAGCTATATGGCCGGCCCACTGCCACTTCAGCTTACTAATCCGTTGGGCTATGTCGGTTACTCTGGTTCTACTGCGGATATCCTCATTCCTAAGTTTATCACGCAGAGAAACTCCGAGCATAGCCCTCTCCATAGCTCGCTGAGCGACCTTGAGCTTCCTCATACGGCCAGCAGTGAAGGACCACGTCTCAGTTCCGTAAGTCATCACTGGCAACACGCACTGGTTGTACAATTTCGTTTTAAGGTTTTGAGGTATGTCTGACGAGAAGATGTGTCGTAGCTTCCCGAACGCTGCCCAGCCGAGTTGAATCCGTCGTTTGACCTCTCGGTCGAAGTTGGACTTACCTAGTCGGACTATTTGTCCCAGGTAAACATACCCGTCAACAACTTCGAGCTTAGTGCTCCCAACAACTACCGGCATAGGTGTGACATGGACATTAAACATAATCTTTGTTTTGTCCATGTTCATCTTAAGACCTATCCGTTGGGAAACACTATTGAGGTCGTTGAGCATAGTGCTTAGGCCCTCCAGCGATTCTGCCATAAGGACTATATCGTCGGCAAATCGAAGGTGAGTGATGTACTCGCCATTGATGTTGATACCGTACCCTTTCCAGTCCAGAAGCTTGAAAACGTCTTCCAATGCAGCGGTGAAGAGTTTCGGGGATATGACGTCACCCTGTCTTACACCTCTCTGCAATTGGATAGGTTTCGTACTCTGGTTCTGTACTCGGATAGCCATCTTAGCCCTACTGTACAAGCAATTCAACACTTCGATATACCGACAGTCAACTTGGCACCGCTGAAGCGACTGCAGCACCGCCCAAATTTCGACGGAATCAAAGGCTTTCTCATAGTCCACATACGCCAGACATAGTGGCAAATTGTACTCTTCGGACTTCTGTACAACTTGCCGAAGGGTATGTATGTGGTCTATGGTGCTAAAGCCCTTTCGGAAACCGGCTTGTTCGGGAGGCTGGAAGTCGTCAAGTCTGCGCGCGAGACGATTCGTAATGACTCTCGAAAACAGCACGTAGACGCGGCTCAGAAGGGAAATCGGTCTGTAGTTCTTCAAGAGAGCGTTGTCACCTTTCTTGAAGAACAAGACCACCGCACTTCTGCTCCACGCCTCCGGTGTAATGCCACCATGGAGGACGGAATTAAAGAGCTTCTGAAGGACTTCAAGTACCGGTCTTCCACCCGCTTTCAGAAGCTCCGCTGTAATTCCATCCTCGCCTGGGGCCTTACCGTTTTTAAGGTGCTGGAGAGCCATTCTAATCTCGCTCAGACTGACGTCCGGGATATCTTCGGAATAGTGTCGGATGAGACTCGCTCTTGGATCGTTACTCACACTTGCGTGTGGCTCCAACGATGACGTGTACAGCTGCCCATAGAACCTCTCAATCTCACTCAAAATCTCAGGTGTCCCGGAAACGATGCTGCCACATTCTGTCTTCAGCTTTGACAGTTGGCTCTTTCTGGCAGACAGATCTCTGGCAAAGACTTTGGAGCCTTGGTTCCGCTCGATCGCTTCTTCAATACGAGCTGTATTGAAGTTGCGTAAGTCCCGCCGCATGCATTTGGAGATCTGTCTGTTCAGATGCCTGTATGCTGTCAAGTCTGTTGAAGAATGTAGCTTCATCTCCCGTCTAACAGCCATGAGATTAAGAGTGTGATCGGAGAGTTTTTGTGTTCTTCTGCGGCGGGTCTTGCAGAACTTAGCTCCGACCGCATGGACAGTTTCCACGAGCTTGTCATTCATATCGTCCACTTCATTGCAGTCTTCCAGGCACTGAAAACGGTTTTGTAACTCGAGCTGAAAGGTTTCGGGACTTTGGATTAGAGCACGAGGGGGAC